AAACGGTGGAGGGCGGGACATCGAAATGAAAACAATAACAAGATTTAGAGGCTGGAAAAGTAATTTAGAAATTCAAATATCTCTGAACTACTGTTATCAGTTAAAGAAGTATTGGAAAAGAGCAGATTATTATTATGACAGATTAGGGCCTTTAATGATGACAGATTAGGGCCTTTAATGATGACAGATTAGGGCCTTTAATGATGACAGATTAGGGACCTTTAATGATGACGGATTAGGGACCTTTAATGATGACAGATTAGGGCCCTTTGATGATGACAGATTAGGGCCCTTTAATGATGACAGATTAGGGCCCTTTAATGATGACAGATTAGAGCCCTTTGATGATGACAGATTAGGGCCCTTTAATGATGACGTATTAGGGCCCTTTAATGATGACAGATTAGAGCCCTTTAATGATGACAGATTAGGGCCCTTTAATGATGACGTATTAGGGCCCTTTAATGATGACAGATTAGAGCCCTTTAATGATGACAGATTAGGGCCTTTAATGATGACAGATTAGAGCCCTTTAATGATGACAGATTAGGGCCTTTAATGATGACAGATTAGGGCCCTTTAACCCTTTTGCCGTGTTCAGACCGATCGCGATGGAGGAGTCAGGGGCGAGTGATTTACATGTTATGTCTATGGCCGGGTGCGCTCAGGAGCGAATGACAGGCCGGCGGTGCGAATGACGAGAGTAGAGCGAGGCGAACAGGGCGTTTTGAACGAAAAGAGCGGAACGAAAGTGGCGAAAGGGGCGTTTGACGCGCGCCTAGAGCCATTTCGCCTCCACCGCCCTACTCGCTCGAGTTGAAAAATCTGAACTTTTTGGTCAATTCGCGGGGCGTTGACCAATCAGGGACTGAATCGAGCAGTGACGTAGCATTGAACCGCGGCGGAGACGAAGCATCTTTTCATTCAACATGGAGGACTCACTGATCGTAGCTGTGTGCCAGCGGCCCGAGTTGTATGACACCAGCAACTATTACTACAGATTAGTTTGGCATAAATCTAAAAGCTAAACAGTGGCACAATGGCTTTACATGTAAAGTACTTGGATTATAACATTTGGAATCTTATTTATTGAGAACCGCTTGATTTACTAACCGAAGACAGATGGACAGGCGCTCTGCAGGGGAGATAGAGCGCCTGTAGTTGGTCTCCCGGACGGTGATCCGAGCCCCAACGCGGGACAGCAGGTCCTCAAACTGGGTCCTGGACACACGGAAATACCGCTGGAATCGACCGTCATCCAGGCGCAGCTCCTGGAGCAGATGGTGGTACTCCCCATATTGGGAGCGTCTCTGGAGGATATCGTGGACCCAGAGACGGCGTCGCTGCCGCCGCTGTTCGGCTTTCCACATTAAATAAAGTATAGTGACTCGTTCCAGAAAATCAAAGCCCGCCATGCTGAGTTGAACAACAACCGGAACCGGCAACTGGCCATAAGCTCCTCCTATTGGATGACGCGGCGAGGCGAAATCTCGACGAAAATCCGCAGGCGAACAGAGCGAGTAATCGCCGCGATAGAAGCGAGTGTCATCAAATATTCAAGCGAAAAACGCCTGGCGTTTGATGCGATTTTTTCGCCTCCATCGCGATCGGTCTGAACACGGCTTTTAAGCGCCAAAGTCGCAATATTGCGACAAGCAACATTGCTCACTTAAACAGGCTGTATGTAAAAATGTGGTGCAGAATTTTGTTAATACTTTTCACTAGGGGTTAGTGGACATGTGTGCCTGTAATATGAGCAGCATTTGTGGGTGTGGTTATATTGAAAGTTTTTGAGTAAATTGAGTTCGTAAAACACCTGCGGCGCAGCGGCGCGGAGGCGAAGCAGCAGCGGTAGAGCTGAGAGGAGCGAGAGCAGAGCAGAGGGAGAGAGTGTTTTTTATTTTACTCACAAGGTCTTCAGTACCAGAGAAGTACTTGGTCTGGTACTGGCTCACTCAGATTCAGAGGAGGAAGACACACAGGTGTCCAGTGAAGCAGACACGGACATTATTGGTGACGGGGAGACCGCGCCATATAGTCCACAATCAGTCCCAGTACAGCGGCTGCTTGTCCTCCGTGTGGCCGCGATAGAAGCATTCTGTGAACGCCAAGCAGGGGCCGTGGTGGAGGGGACAGGGGGATCATAACACCGGGCATGTGGGAGAAAGTAGCGGGGGTAGACATCCACGGGGAACACGGGAAACGCGGGAGAAGTCGCGGGAGAGCCGCGGGAAAAAAACATATCGCTAATCGCGTTCACTGCCTTTACCAACAGTGATGATGAGGATGAAGGCAGTTCTTGAGAGAAAATAATCCACAAAAGTGGATCAGAAGTGTTGAAGAGCCTGTTGTATGTTGTTGAGACGATCTGACAAGTTCTGTGCCCATTCATTTCATCTCTCTGTTTCTAAACGGTAAATTCTGGAGCCTCATTTCCACTGAGAAAAATAGTAAGCTCACCACTTCTTTGAAAGGGGAATATTGAAACCAATCTCAAGATTTCATGACAGTAAACTATAAAGAGTGCTGTCTTGATCACTGAAGGTCTTTGAAAATAATACAATTCCATATGGCCGCAAACTAGTGCTAAAACATTATCTATAATCTGGATCAGGGAATTTATTTCTATCCCAAATTAATTTCATACTAAAGATATTTCAAGTTGACTGTTTATAGTATTCCCTGATCTCAAATAACTCCCAAGCTACAGCTTTTTGAAGTCTTTATACAATAATTAACATTTTCCAAAATGGCCGCCACCTTGATGACGTCATAATATGCAAATTAGATGACGAATCAACTTCCATCCCAAAGTTTGGTTCAAACTGAAGATATTTCTAATTTACAGTATGCCTTTATCTCAAACCATTTTAAAGTTATAGCCTTTTGAAATCTTGAAATCAAAATTGTATATTTTCTTGAAAAAACTCTGGCGCCTAAAGGGTTAATGATGACGTATTAGGGCCCTTTAATGATGACAGATTAGGGCCTTTAATGATGACAGATTAGGGCCCTTTAATGATGCCAGATTAGGGATGACAGATTAGGACCTTTAATGATGACAGATTAGGGCCCTTTAATGATGACAGATTACGGCCTTTAATGATGACAGATTAGGGCCCCAGAGAGTTGAACATATGATAAATAAACGTTTGAACTATATCCTAATAGTCTGAGTTTCCTGGTTTTTTGCTGCTGGTTCCCGGCTCCAGTCGCTTTACTAAATCTCAAATGTAAAGAATGTGCTTGAACGGCTGCAGATTGGGTTTTGTGCCCGTCTGAAGGCCGTAAAGTTTGGGCTGTTTCCATGACAACGGTTCACGGTTTGCTTCCGACGTCTGATGAGATCACAAATCCTCCGGAGACTTCTGCTCCGGCGGCGATGGCTCTCCACTTTTATAACCTCCTGGAAAAGCAGAAATAGTGGCGGCGTTCGTCATCCGTGGAAGAATGAGCTGGGTGTTCTCTGGGGCATCCCTGAAGAGAGGGTTCGGATCCCATCTCCTGGTCCTGGTCCTGGTCCTGATCCTGGTCCTGGTCCTGGTCTCGCTGAGGCTGCTGCGTCGTAAAAACTGGATTGGATCAAAGTTTGGTTCTTTGTTTGTTCAGAAAGTGTTTGTGAGAAGCTTATAATACTACTGCTACTAATACTACTGCAGTACTGTGGTTACTACTGCAGTACTGTGGTTACTACTGTAGTACTGTGGTTACTACTGTAGTACTGTGGTTACTACTGCAGTACTGTGGTTACTACTGCAGTACTGTGGTTACTACTGTAGTACTGTGGTTACTACTGCAGTACTGTAGTTACTACTGTAGTACTGTGGTTACTACTGCAGTACTGTGGTTACTACTGCAGTAGATGGTCCGAGCGTAGATAGTCCGAGCGTAGATAGTCTGAGCGTAGATAGTCCGAGCGCAGATAGTCCGAGCGTAGATAGTCTGAGCGTAGATAGTCCGAGCACAGATAGTCCGAGCGTAGATAGTCTGAGCGTAGATAGTCCGAGCGCAGATAGTCCGAGCGTAGATAGTCCGAGCGTAGATAGTCCGAGCGTAGATAGTCTGAGCGTAGATAGTCCGAGCGTAGATAGTCTGAGCGTAGATAGTCCGAGCACAGATAGTCCGAGCACAGATAGTCTGAGCGTAGATAGTCTGAGCGTAGATAGTCCGAGCGCAGATAGTCCGAGCGCAGATAGTCCGAGCACAGATAGTCCGAGCGCAGATAGTCCGAGCACAGATAGTCCCAGCGCAGATAGTCCGAGCGCAGATAGTCCGAGCGCAGATAGTCCGAGCACAGATAGTCCGAGCGCAGATAGTCCGAGCGCAGATAGTCCGAGCGCAGATAGTCTGAGCGCAGATAGTCCGAGCGCAGATAGTCTGAGCGCAGATAGTCCGAGCGTAGATAGTCCGAGCGTAGACAGTCCGAGCGTAGACAGTCCGAGCGTAGATAGTCCGAGCGTAGATAGCCCGAGCGTAGATAGTCCGAGCGTAGATAGTCCGAGTGTAGATAGTCCAAGGCGGTCCCGCAGGTCTCTCCCACAGACCAGTCTCTCCAGAGGATACGATGTAAGCTAGCTCTGTTCAGGGCTTGGTTTCTTCTTTGATCATGTTGTGGCTTTAGTTCCTCTTCTCTTCCTCACTGTTGTGTGGTTTGGGCTGTTTTGCTGTGTCTGCAGTTACAGCCAGAGGAGTTATAGCCACTGATGCTAACATGCTACTGTGTTTAGCAGCGCTGTAGAGGCTAGAGGACGCAGCCTCGTTCTGTGATTGGAGGAGAGCGGGCGTCACGCTAAGTCTCTACTCTTATTTTTAGCAATAAGCATTTTTATGAACTCATTAGAAAATAAATCAGGAATAGCTTTTTTAAGTCATAATTTGAGTTTTTGAGAGAAGTGGTCCGTTACAGACACACTTCCCTCGTGTTGTTGTAGCGGTGGTCCAAGACACTCTCCAAAGACGACTGAGACAGAGTGCTTCACGGTGAGAGGGGGAGGGCCATCATGGGGGGGGCATCATGGGGGGGTAAGGGCCATCATGGAGGGCCATCATGGGGGGGTATCATGGGGGGGCATCATGGGGGGGTATCATGGGGGGGTATCATGGGGGGGCATCATGGGGGGGCATCATGGGGGGGTAAGGGTATGGTCTCTGTGTGAGAGTGGAACAAACGGTGGATTTTTGAAGCACCTGGAAAACATGACACATTTGTACCAGAAGAGAGTTTCATGACGTGGTTTTGTTGAGTGAGAAATGTGAGGACCATGAGACGAAGCCAACATGAGACCAGAGAGAGACCAGAGAGAGACCAGAGAGAGACCAGAAAGAGACCAGAGAGAGACCAGAGAGAGACCAGAGAGAGACCAGAGAGAGACCAGAGAGAGACCAGAGAGAGACCAGAGAGAGACCAGAGAGAGAGACCAGAGAGAGACCAGAGAGAGACCAGAGAGAGACCAGAGAGGCCAGAGAGAGACCAGAGAGAGAGACCAGAGAGACCACCTATTGGCCATAATCTCCCCTGAGGACTTCTGGATCCTGTAGAACAGTAATCATAAACATGTAGATGCTAAATGTGGATTAAAATATGTCATTTCTATTTAAAACTCGCAGAAACACATTTGTTGGTGTTTACTTTCTTGCACATGGATGAAAAACGGCGTGACGTGTGTTTTGGCCCAGACTCCGCAGAGTTCCCTTCGCCACATGTTCAGTTCCTACAGATGTGGACACAACAAACCAGTGTTTTCTCTGGACACATGGTTCCTGATGGTTGTGGAGAGCGGCGCTGGTACAAAGGCAGCATTATGTGAAGTAGATGTTTGGAAAAGTCAAGTGGAAAGACAGAGAAAGGTCGCTCTGGTCGTTAACAAAACATTTACTTCATACGGACTTTTCAGGGATTTAAAAACTAGTTTGACTCTGGTCTGAGTCTGATTGTAGTCCATTAGTCTGGTTTGGATTGGGTCTAATGTCCACTAAAGACATGAGACCAGAGAGAGACCAGAGAGGGACCAGAGAGAGAGACCAGGGAGAGACCAGAGGGAGACCAGAGAGAGAGACCAGAGAGAGACCAGACAGAGACCAGAGAGAGACCAGAGAGGGACCAGAGAGAGACCAGAGAGAGACCAGAGAGAGACCAGAGAGAGACCAGAGAGAGACCAGAGAGAGAGACCAGAGAGAGACCAGAGAGAGACCAGAGAGAGAGACCAGAGAGAGACCAGAGAGAGACCAGGGAGAGACCAGAGAGAGACCAGAGAGAGACCAGAGAGAGACCAGAGAGAGACCAGAGAGAGACCAGAGAGAGACCAGAGAGACCAGAGAGAGACCAGAGAGAGACCAGAGAGAGAGACCAGAGAGAGACCAGAGAGACCAGAGAGAGACCAGAGAGAGAGAGACCAGAGAGAGACCAGAGAGAGAGACCAGAGAGAGACCAGAGAGACCAGAGAGAGACCAGAGAGAGACCAGAGAGAGACCAGAGAGAGAGACCAGAGTGAGACCAGAGAGACCAGAGAGAGACCAGGATGTCCATGGCATGATAACTCTCTAATGTACAGAACTTGTTCCATGACAGAGGAACCATAATGACAGACTCTCGTGGTCCTGCTCAGAGGAAGGAGATTCTTCTGGAACAGACTGAAATGATTAAAATCACAATTACTCCGACAATGTTCACATTTGGAAAAAGTAAAACCATCTCCTTCTGGTTTTATCATAGGATAGAGAATGGTAGAAAACAACAGAAACTGTGTGTGTGTATCCGCGCGTGTGTGTCTTTGTGTACGTGTGTGTACTTGTGTGTATCCGCGTGCGTGTGTGTGTCTACCTGTCTGTGTGCGTGCGTGTACGTGTGTGTTTTGTGTATCTGCATGTGCATATTTGTGTGTGTGTGTATCTGTGTGTGTGTGTGTGTATGTGTATCTGTGTGTGTGTGTGTCTGTGTGTGCGTGTGTCTGTGTGTGTGGCCTTTGTAACTACTGAAGGTGACATCTGTAAATAAACCTGTATCTTTCTCTCGTGTCTGATCCAGAATCTCTCTCTTCTGTGCAGTGCTCTCTCTGTCAGTCTCTGGTCTCTAACCCACTTCTTCTCTGAGTCTCTCACACACAGACTCCCTCTGGTCTCTCTCTGGTCTCTCTCTGGTCTCTCTCTCTGGTCTCTCTCTCTGGTCTCTCTCTGGTCTCTCTCTCTGGTCTCTCTCTGGTCTCTCTCTCTGGTCTCTCTCTCTGGTCTCTCTCTCTGGTCTCTCTCTCTCTGGTCTCTCTTTCTGGTCTCTCTCTCTGGTCTCTCTCACTCTGGTCTCTCTCTCTGGTCTCTCTCTCTGGTCTCTCTCACTCTGGTCTCTCTCTCTGGTCTCTCTCTCTGGGCTCTCTCACTCTGGTCTCTCTCTCTGGTCTCTCTCACTCTGGTCTCTCTCTCTGGTCTCTCTCACTCTGGTCTCTCCCTCTGGTCTCTCTCTGGTCTCTCTCTCTGGTCTCTCTCTCTGGTCTCTCTCTCTGGGCTCTCTCACTCTGGTCTCTCTCTCTGGTCTCTCTCACTCTGGTCTCTCTCTCTGGGCTCTCTCACTCTGGTCTCTCTCTCTGGTCTCTCTCACTCTGGTCTCTCTCTCTGGTCTCTCTCACTCTGGTCTCTCTCTCTGGTCTCTCTCACTCTGGTCTCTCTCTCTGGTCTCTAGAACATAGAGAAGTGGATTCTCACACAAACTGTTCAAACTCGTCTAAAAACCAGTGGAAAGTTGTGGGAGAGGGTTTGAGTCTGGAACATACGAGCTTCTGTTGGAGCAGCCGTTGGTCCTGGTTCTTTGTATACTTTGGAGCCGAGAAGTGGAGCCAGAGGAGAAAGTACTGCTGTGCCGTTCTGATTTACTTTAGTCACACACAGAACAATCACACAGGCTACAGACGTCACTGTGTCTTCTCCCAAATATGTTTTTACTTTTTATAGTGTTTAGGCTCTACACTGTTAAAAAAGGTCGTGTTAGAATCTATAGCCCCGTTTCCACCAGACTTACTCTGCTCTGCTCTGCTCTACTCTACTCTACTCTACTCTACTCTACTCTACTCTACTCTACTCTACTCTACTCTACTCTACTCTACTCTACTCTACTCTACTCTACTCTACTCTACTCTACTCTACTCTACTCTACTCTACTCTACTCTTCTATTCTACTCTACTCTACTCTACTCTACTCTACTCTACTCTACTCTACTCTACTCTACTCTACTCTACTCTTCTATTCTACTCTACTCTACTCTACTCTACTCTACTCTACTCTACTCTACTCTACTCTACTCTACTCTACTCTACTCTACTCTACTCTACTCTACTCTACTCTTCTACTCTACTCTACTCTACTCTACTCTACTCTACTCTACTCTACTCTACTCTACTCTACTCTACTCTACTCTACTCTACTCTACTCTACTCTACTCTACTCTGCTCTGCTCTGCTCTGCTCTACAATATGCTTTACTATCTACACAGCTTCTTAGCAACCTACCCACAACAAACCAGTATCCAGGTCTCTCTCTCTTGGTATCTCTCTGGTCTCTCTCTGGTCTCTCTCTCTGGTCTCTCTCTGGTCTCTCTCTGGTTTCTCTCTGGTCTCTCTCTGGTCTCTCTGGTCTCTCTCTGGTCTCTCTCTCTAGTCTCCCTCTCTGGTCTCTCTCTGGTCTCTCTCTGGTCTCTCTCTGGTTTCTCTCTGGTCTCTCTCTGGTCTCTCTCTAGTCTCCCTCTCTGGTCTCTCTATGGTCTCTCTCTGGTCTCTCTCTGGTCTCTCTCTGGTCTCTCTCTGGTTTCTCTCTGGTCTCTCTCTGGTCTCTCTCTGGTCTCTCTGGTCTCTCTCTGGTCTCTCTCTCTAGTCTCCCTCTCTGGTTTCTCTCTGGTCTCTCTCTGGTCTCACTCTGGTTTCTCTCTGGTCTCTCTCTGGTCTCTCTCTGGTCTCTCTCTGGTCTCTCTCTGGTCTCTCTCTGGTCTCTCTCTCTGGTCTCTCTGGTCTCTCTCTGGTCTCTCTCTCTAGTCTCCCTCTCTGGTCTCTCTCTGGTCTCTCTCTAGTCTCCCTCTCTGGCCTCTCTCTGGCCTCTCTCTGGTCTCTCTGGTCTCTCTGCAGCTGGGACCATGTGGGACCAGAGTGTGGTGGGAGCTGGGTGGAGCAGGGTGGGCCTCCTCGCCCTGCTACTGGAAAAACGCTTTAGTGACTGGCAACGCGCAAGGGCTGAGTCAGCAGCAGACCGCGGCACAGACACACAAATATTACAGAAGAGAAACTCTGCGTGTGCGTGCATGTGTGCGTGTGTGTGTGTGTGTGTGTGCGTGCGTGTGTGTCTGTGTGTGTGTGTGTGTCTGTGTGTGTGTGTGTGTGTGTGCGTGTGTGTGTGTGTGCGTGTGTATGTCTGTGTGCGTGTGTGTGTGTGTGCGTGCTTGTGTGTCTGTGTGTGTGTGCGTGTGTGTATGTGTGTGCGTGCGTGTGTGTGTGTGTGTGTGTGTGTGTCTGTGTGTGTGTGTGTGTGTGTGTGTCTGTGTGTGTGTGTGTGTGTGTGTGGGCCAACTTAAAGCTGGGGTACGTAATATGATGTTATATTTTACTGGTAACATGGCCCAACAATCATAAATAATTACAGTACATTAAAAAGACTGAAGACAAGACCAGAGAGAGACCAGAGAGAGACCAGAGAGAGACCAGAGAGAGACCAGAGAGAGAGACCAGAGAGAGACCAGAGAGAGACCAGAGAGAGACCAGAGAGAGACCAGAGAGAGACCAGAGAGACCAGAGAGAGACCAGAGAGAGACCAGAGAGAGACCAGAGAGAGACCAGAGAGAGACCAGAGAGAGAGACCAGAGAGAGACCAGAGAGAGACCAGAGAGAGACCAGAGAGAGAGACCAGAGAGAGAGACCAGAGAGAGACCAGAGAGAGACCAGAGAGAGACCAGAGAGAGACCAGAGAGAGACCAGAGAGAGACCAGAGAGAGACCATAGAGAGAGACCAGAGAGAGACCAGAAAGAGAGACTAGAGAGACAGACCGAAGAGAGAAAAGAAACCATTTCTAACAGAAAAAGTCTTGTCACGTTGTACCTGCGATATCTTTTTCTTGTTCATACCAGTTTCTAAACACACACAGAACTCTTCATTCTTCCTCAAAAACACAGAATTAACACCGGGTTAATTGCACCCAGATTTTTTTCCTTCGGCCTCTGTCTCCTTTCTGTAACAGTAGCTTCGTAAGCGGCTAATGCTAATGGCTGACGTTAACGGCTACTGCTAACGGCTACGGGAAACTAACCAGTGTCATGGCCCCAGGATTCTAAAGTGGCCGAGAGCTAAAAGTATCAAACACCAACCTCCAGGGACTCCACACCTGCTTTTATTTTGCTTGGAATGTTTTACTATGTGGAGGCGGGGTAGGTTTTACCACTACTATTAGCACAGGGACTTTGAGGAGCACAGGGACTGGCCTCCTGCTGGGACTCTGAGGAGCACAGGGACTGGACTCCTGCTGGGACTCTGAGGAGCACAGGGACTGGCCTCCTGCTGGGACTCTGAGGAGCACAGGGACCGGCCTCCTGCTGGGACTCTGAGGAGCACAGGGACTGGACTCCTGCTGGGACTCTGAGGAGCACAGGGACTGGCCTTGTTTATTTATGATTCTAAAGCCTTGTGTGATTGTAGCTTGTTTTGTTCAGCCCTTGGAGTTGCCCTTTGTATGAACTGTGCTATACAAATAAATGAGCCTTGCCATGTTAAAGGTCATGTATGTAAACGTCCGTGGCCTTGAGCTTCTTTCCTCGTCTGCGTATCACATTTATTTTTAGTTTG